ACAAAACAAGGGCATAGCAATTTTTTTGTACTACATTTATCCAATTTAAATACACTAACCTCACTCCTTTGTAACAACTAAGGCAAAAATGTAATTAATTCAGAAAATCTTTTCAGGACCCCACCTTGATGTTTCGGGACCCCACTTTGGGTCCCGACCCCAACTTTGGGAAACACTGGTTTAAACAATGTTTTGCATTTTTTCATTTGATAATTGAAACTTTATTTTCTAAATGATAATTTCTCAAATCCTGTCCTTTGTGCACAGAGATTCTCTAACATTTCTATAAAAGTAAATAAAATAAAATGTATTGATTTGCAAATCTCATAYACCRCACAATGGARATCAAATGTTTAAACTAAGAAACTTTAAAAAAAAGAGTAAAGTAATTTTGAATTTTGAGATGCAACACTGCATCGCCAAAAAAAGTTTGGATGGGCTAACAAAATGCTGTAAGAGGAAGTGGTGTAGGAAAGGAAGAGCATTTAGCATCGAATCAGGACTGGGTGTGAAAAGCCTTTTAGAGTAAACTTTCTCAGTTCAGAACTGAAGTGTGGAGAGCTACGCTCTTACTGTATAGTTTAAAGCTCCAAACGCCACACTTTCAGCTTTGTACTGAAAAGGTTTCCTGGCTGAAAAAGCAAATTGTCTTCAACCAGAGTAGAAGTTCAGTTGCTTTATTTTTAGAACTATTTAGAAAAACAATGGAACAGATTCCGAATAATGTTCCACAATAGAAAATTGGAAATTCACTGAAGCTCCTTTCATCTATGTTCATAATACACTGCCTGGACAAAAAAAAAAAAAAAAGGTTACACATGCCAATATTTTGTCGGGCCGCCTTTAGCTTTGATTACTTAACACATTAACTGTGGTATGGTTTGGATAAGCTTCTGCAATGTCACAAGATTTATTTCCATCCAGTGTTGCATTAATTTTTCACCAAGATCTTTCACTGATGATGGTAGAGCCTGACCTTCTCCAGCACATCCCAAAGATTCTCAGTGGACTCTGTGGAGCCAATCCATGTGTGAAAATGATGTCTCATGCTCCCTGAACCACTCTTTCACAATAAGAGCCCGATGAATCCTGGCATTGTCATCTTGGAATATGGCCGTGCCATCAGGGAAGAAACAATCCATTGCTGGAATAAACTGCTCATTCAGTATATTCAGGTAGTCAGCTGACCTCATTCTTTGAGCTGAATCTAGACTTGACCCCATGTAGAG